AAATAAGAGCCTATGTATTGATAACTGCTCAAGTTAGATGATGGGTATATGGACATTCACTATGTAATTCTCACCACTTGATATACATATTATGTTTGAAGTTTTTCATAATAAAAAGTTTGAAGCCTAACAAACAAAATGTTCCACTACAAAACCAAGTACCTACTGTTCGATGTTTTGCCCTAAATCCTCCAGGCAGAGTCAGTTTACTGAGAGTGCTATTCCAGTTCTATTACAGTCACTGCCATTGAATGATCTTCCATTAGACTAGAGACAGTGGGCTCCATAACGTCAAGTACTATGTCCTATTCGTTTTCGCTTCTCCAGAGCCTACCACAGTGTCAAGCAAAATGTCAGCCCTTAATAAATGTTCACTGAACCTAAATGAATGTAAATGAAAAAAGAGACACAGTACAATCTCATTTGATGGCATGGTTTTGCAGAAACCATTGTATTTTCCCATGTCATTTACTTCTTAGTAACAACCATAAATCAAAAAAGATTGAAACCATATATCATACTCCCACGGTATCATTTTCAAAACACGGTCTAACTTTAAACAATTTATTCGGAGACTTATCAATGACTCAACAGTATGTTTAATAGCTATATGGTTCGATATTTAGTTTAATTGCCATATCTGGTTTTGCACATATCTAGAGGATCTACAGTTAACATCAAAGATATCATGTGGTTCTTAAAGAAAATTAATTCTAAATCATTTTACTACACATGTAGAAAAAAATCTGTAAGATTTTACACCAAACAGTGGTTAATTCTTCTGGAGATGTGTTAGCCCAATACAGTATCAATTAGCCACATGTGGCTATTTAAATTTAAATCAATTAAAACATCATAAAGTTTAAAATTCAGTTCCTCAGTTGTACTAGCCACATTTTAAGTGATTACTGGCTAAATATAACTAGTGGCTACTATACTGACAACACAGATACAGAATGTTTCCATAGCTCTACTGGACAGTGAAACTCTAGAGGATTTGGATCAAAAAGGAGTCTCATTTTCTGTTACGTAT